ACAATAAGGTTGTGAAGGTCTTGAGAGAGCTCTTTACTTTTACCCATCATCAGATGGTTCTTGTGTGATACCTGGCAGGCTTGTTTTCTAATTACTGAGAGAGTTCAGCTGGTGTCTTGGCTTTCCATGCCTTTTTACACCTCCCTTTCTTCATTTGTTCAATACCTTTTCCCTGTGCCATTCCACATTATTACAAAGAACTTCATTTCTGGACATTTATGGTTTGATTTCTTTGTATGTATGGATCACTTGGGTTGTTACCGACAACTGGTGAAAATTTTATGTCATTAGCACCTCTAGTAACATATTTACTGAGAAAAATGTTGACGTGTTCAATACTTATTTTACCCGCTGTATGTTGTGGCATGAGAAAAAAAATGCGGCAGTACTTTTTTGACTCATTCAAGCCACAGCGTCTGTTCAGGAAGTCTGCCACCTCTCCTGCCATTGCTTATCAGCGATAAACTTTACTTTTTGTTGTCAGCGCAACCCAACCCCCAGCGCCCCTGCCACCACCACCACCTCCTCATCAACTCATGTGACTGATTTGAGAGTAAAAGAGCAGTTTTAGAATATCCAACATGGCTGTGTGCAAGCAATGTCTTATGCCAGGCTTGCTGGTAAAACCCCTTCCTGCCAAGCAAATACAACCAAGAAAGTCAGGAGAAGGTCAAAGATCAGAGCGCAGTGTTGCTGCGTTCTAAGGGCAGGTTTGCAAAGTTGTCACATGCTCTACAAGTTCCTGCGTAAGAGTGTGTGTGTACAGAGAAAAAAAAACCAAAGTCATCTTCCTCCACATTTTAAATGATCTCTTTTTGATGAAATGCTCATCTTTTTGCTTAAAGCAAGGATATCTAACTGAGCCTATCTAAAGGGTAAGGTTAGTGTTAGCGGTAGTGTTAACACAAGGGTTAGTGTGACTAAAAGGTCGTTTATTTATTTTTATTTTTATTTTTAACAAGTATGGATGAAACACTATTGTGAATTTGAGGCTCAATAATAAATCTTTTCTTCTTCTTGATAATAATCCCATCAGTTTGAGCTCTCCTCTATACAGCAGTCCTGATTGTCCTTCTCCCTATGCAACCAGTCCCTATTTGTTGCATTCCCTGCCATTCACTGAAATGCTCTTTGCCCTTTCAGCGGCTGCTCACTAACATGCTACTCCAGCCCAAGCCATGTTGAATGTCACAAGCCTTCTCTGGTTGCGTCCTGATCTTTTTATAGCTAGGCAGCTGAAAATGTGAGGGGTCACTATGGGAGGATAAATACAAGGGCCAGCACACAGAAGAGGTGTCGCAGACGAAGGTCGGATCTCCTGCATCTCTCTTGTCTCAGCTCTCCTCCCAGCCTCAAAGGTAAAAAGAGAACGACAGACACTTTAGATGAATTTGTGTGCCACTTTTTAAATATCTTGTTTAAACGAAAGCATGTTGAGCATAAAGCCGCAGATATAGAGCTAGTGCAGTCACGGACAAGCTAACACTTTTTGAGACCACACAAAACTCACAGCGTGTGTCACATGTGACGGACAGCATGTTTCATTTCTCTGCTACGATTAAACAAAAATTTAAATTGTGTTCATCAATCATCAGTGAAGAGATTTACTTCCATGAAAAATTCCATTCATCCTTACATATTTTTATGACTTATATACAGTATTGTAAGACCCTGCCTGACCAAAATTATACTCTCCAGTTTAACAGTGAGTGTTTGAGCTCATCCACAACACATTACAAGCTGCTACAAAACAACCATGTTTCAAATGTCAGTGCAGGCTTCTGTGACTCACAAGTCTGACCAAGTTCTGAGTCTAAGTTTATCAGAATTGTCTGCATGAGAATCTTACTGCGAATAACATYGTTACTCTGCAAGTGGTTTCTTGCTTTCAACTGAAATACTTTGTGCAATGCACAAGTGCATGGTTTAAATTTAGTGCAGCCTATTCATAGTGCAGGCTCAAGACTAGGTGGAGTGGAGTGGGCTTTGAAAAAAGAGAGAAGTGAGGGGGAACCTCTGCGGTGATTATAGCTGCATTAAATGCGTTCACACGTGTAGAGTTTGGTTCTTAACAAAACATAGACAGGAAAACTAAACGACACACTTTTTCCTCACCACTTCCTTTGTACTTTCATGTCCTCCTTTCATCTAACACTTTCCCACAGGAAACCAAAACCTCTAGAGCAAAGATGTAGCTTTGCAGTTTTGCTGAACTTTTCCCCTCTGTCTGTCAAACTGGGGACTCTCTGTCTCTTATAATAAGAAGTTGTGTCTCTTCTTTTATCCAGAGTCAGGATGCCTCACGCATACCCTTTCCTCACTCCTGAGCAGAAGAAGGAGCTCAGTGATATTGCTCAGAAGATTGTTGCTACTGGCAAGGGAATCCTTGCTGCAGATGAGTCCACTGGTAAGTATTTGAGAAGTCAACAGTAATCAGAATACTAAGAATAATGTATTAAACTCTTTATAACACAATAAACCAAGAAGACATCTACGTGAAGTAGTAATAACACGATCTGGAAAGTTACAAAAAACAAACTCCATGCTAAAAYCAGATAATCTTTTTTAGTAAAAAACACAACTCCAGTTTGATTGGTGCCCCAGCCTCCTTCCTGCATACTTAGCTCTACCACTAGCTGTCATAATAACCTGGCCATCATGTCAGCCCTCTTCAATTGTTCATCTTTCCAGAACTTTACTTTTGACCAATCAACCGACCAGAGCCATAAGTCCAAATACACAAGTTATTTTGGACCAAATGGGAAATGAGATTTTTCAAAATAGCATTTTGTCATTAAAGCACCCAAAATCTAAATTAAAATGAACGTTGAAAAAAATAGACAAATTGCATTTTCTCCAAAAATGCAGTGTGAATGCTTTGCTAAGATTTGCTGGAAAAGCTGAAGCTAACTATAGATGTTGAAGCTAAAAAAAAAGCAAAATGTCAGCTGAAAGCTAACTACAAAGTGAAAGTAGCAAAAGTCTATCTGAAACCTAACAGTAGCAGAATAGTTGCTAAAAACTAAAAGTTCAAAAGAAGGCAAAAAATAGAACAAGTATGCTGAAGCAATTAAAAAAGATCTTGATGTGTTTCTATGGCGAAAATATTTATAAACAAAGTTAAATATTCTGAAAACTCTAAAAGTTACAAAAACATAGCTGGAATATCCTGAATGAACTGCATATCTTGACACATAAATGTCTAAAAATCTACAATGTATGCAGAAGTTGATTGCAACAATCTTACAGAAATTTGTTTTAAAAAAGCAATAGGAAGACAATATAACTGATGATTAAGCATTCTTTACTGTATATGGACACTTTAGATAACATTTAGAAAAAAGCAGTACATTCAGTACGTCTAATGTTTCTTTTTTATTAATCTGCAGGCAGCGTGGCCAAGCGCTTCCAGAGCATCAATGCTGAGAACACTGAGGAGAACAGGAGGCTGTACCGCCAGCTCCTCTTCACTGCTGACGACCGCATCGTGCCTTGCATTGGTGGCGTCATCCTCTTCCACGAGACCATGTACCAGAAGACCGATGATGGCAAACTCTTCACACAGTACCTCAAAGAAAGAGGCATGGTGGTTGGCATCAAGGTCGACAAGGGTGTCGTCCCCCTGGCTGGAACAAACGGCGAAACAACCACCCAGGGTGAGCAAAGGCGAACAATACATCATCAGCTTTTAATGCTTTTGTCAAACTGTTCTAATATGCACTCTCCCTGTCAGGTCTTGATGGACTGTATGAGCGTTGTGCACAGTACAAGAAGGATGGGGCTGATTTTGCCAAATGGCGTTGTGTTCTGAAGATCACCCCTACCACTCCCTCAAGACTGGCCATCATTGAGAACGCCAATGTCCTGGCTCGCTATGCTAGCATTTGCCAGATGGTGAGACACTAAACAGATTAATTGTTTTTACAGGTATTAAAGACCTCCTGGTAAACCCAATTTGAGAATAAAAGGTATCACTTCTGCCTAACAACAGACTTGTCACTTTAAGTATGGAATGTGTTGTTAAAATTACTGCTTGAACTTACTGCACCAGGAAACAGCTGTCTTATTTAGCATGACATGCACTTTTTTTGTTATCAACCCTYCAATCCACCCACTTCCTATTTGTTTGGCTGGAACACATTTGATAAGTGTTTTCTACTGTGAAAGCAAATATATGCAAGTATTTCTGTAGGGACTTATTATTGTAACATCTGCTTTGTAAATTTGGCTAAACCAGAAGACCAATAATGTTAAGATTTATGAATTTTGGTGTGAGTTTAAAAATTGCAGTTCCTTAATCTCTACCAACAGAACATAATGGAAATCAGATATATATTATATGCAGTGTAATCACACAAGACGTTTTGTTCCTGCCTTCCTCAGCACGGCATCGTCCCCATTGTTGAGCCTGAGATTCTCCCTGACGGCGACCACGACCTGAAGCGCTGCCAGTACATCACYGAGAAGGTTCTGGCGGCCGTCTACAAAGCCCTGTCTGACCACCATGTCTACTTGGAGGGCACCCTGCTCAAACCCAACATGGTTACCCCTGGACACTCCTGCTCACACAAGTACAGCAACCAGGAGATTGCCATGGCCACTGTTACAGCCCTGCGCCGCACCGTCCCCCCTGCAGTCCCTGGTAAAATTGGAATCACAATCCTGCTGGCACACATTAAATTCTTGATTGAATAATTCACGCAACAAGGGTTAGTTATCATAAAGAAGCGTACTGCTACACTTTCTTTCTTTTTGTTGCACAGGAATAACCTTCCTCTCTGGTGGCCAGAGCGAGGAGGAGGCCTCCGTCAATCTGAATGCCATGAACCAGTGCCCTTTGCACAGGCCCTGGGCTCTGACCTTCTCATATGGCCGTGCCCTGCAGGCCTCTGCCCTGAAAGCCTGGGGAGGCAAGAAGGAGAATGGAAAGGCTTGCCAAGAAGAGTTTGTCAAGAGAGCTCTGGTATGTGTGAATACTGAGTAAAAATAGCTAGCATTAAAAATACTTTCTTGGCTTTTTACACGTGTATTAATGTTGTTTTTCTTTTTCTTCTCTTGCAGGCTAACAACCAGGCCTGTCAGGGTAAATATGTTTCTTCTGGAGCCAGCGCTGCTGGTGGAGAGTCACTGTTTGTGGCTAATCATGCTTATTAAGCACTGACACACTTTTAACCTTCTACTCACAGTTATTGCATCACCATAGAAAAAAAGAGTGCCTTATTAAATTCTTTGTCCTCCACTTGTAACAGCAACTTTAACAACTTTTTACCACCTTGTCAGAAAGGAAAAAAGTAAAAACTTTGAATTTAGTGGTTGATGGATAATGTTTGTCACCATTCCCTTGCCTTTTATGTTTAAAGGTGAAGATTCCCTTTTTGTTTTTACACAACTTAGTTTCTTTGTCTGTCTTCAACAAGGGCAGAATATAACTGGTACGATGAAATAAAGTTTATATCAAATCTGTTGTTTTACTTCCTTTTAAGGAAAATTACTTTGCTTCTTGATGCTCAATGAAATAAAGATAATATGAAACCAGCAGTGAGGAACTAAAACCACATTGAAATGTCTGAAATTGGCATCGTGAGAAAAGAAGAATTACTTGGAAAAAGGAACCTTTTTATATTAAAAAATTAGATCTACACATACATTTACACTTAAGCATACCATACTGTGCCACTTTTATTTATAGAGCACTTAAAACAGCACAAGGCCAATCAAAATGTCATACAATGAAACATACACATCAAAGACATGAAGTAAATTACATGAGTTTAAAAATACAAAACATTTTGAAAAGACCACAAACAGCTAAAAAAAGCTGTAGTACACAGTGAAGTTTTTCAACCAACTCAGAGCCAATAGCAAGTGCATAATAATGTGTTTYTAAAGGAGACTTAAAGTCTGAGAGAGAAGGAGACTGTCTGACATTTAGTGGAAGGTCAATCCACAATTTTGAGTCAGCAACAGAGAAGGATCTGTCACCTCTCAGTTTGGGCTGTAAGTATGGAGCAGATGATCAACTGACCCAAGAGACTGTTTTATATTATGTATATATTTATATATTTATGTATTTACAAAACCTTTAAAAGCTGAAAACATAGAGTTACTGTAATTTCCTGTGATAGTGTGTCAGAGGGTGTGGGTCTCAGTTGTGGAGCTCACAAAACATGATGCATCAAATGTAAGGGAAACAACAAATGCTCCATTCGTTTTAGTCACTACAGCCTCAAGCCAGAATGTGACCCACACTTAATCACCATCTAAATTTGGCAGCAGGTCGTGTTTAATAATAGACTCGGCTTGTCTGCGGCAAAGGGACATCTGGGCTTGAAAGCCTCATGTTCTCTCTGTATTGCTTATTGGTATATGCTAATATTTAGCAATGAGGTATATATTGCATTGTTAGCATATATATATAGGGACTTATTATTGTAACATCTGCTTTGGATGGGACTGAACCCTTCCAAAGCAGATGTTTGGAAAGGTTTAGTTCTAATATGACCTCCAAACATGATGTGTATTCTGGCATCCAAACAGAATACACACAGTTTGGAAGCCCCAACAGGTTGTAGAGAGCTACTACAACTACAGGTTGTAGTAGCTCTCTACAACCTGTCTCTCTACAGGTTGTAGAGAGACAGGATATCTCTCTACAACATGGAAGCACAACATGGAAGCTCATGTCAGGCATCATAGCGGCTAAGATAAGCGGGCACATGGATAAATACATGAGCACGGCACAGAAGGGCATAATAAATACATTATTGTTGAAAGATGATTCCTCCACATTCCCATGTGTCTGGGACAGTTTCTGACCTGTTGAAAGAGCATAAAGT